GCATTTTGGAAATCTGTATTCCCAAACAAACACTCAAAAGCTATAGGATGGGTATGTGGCACCAGTGTAGATTTTATACAATTATAAGTACTGTATGCTTATCACCAGATATAATGCTGTTTGTTTCACAAGGGCTGTGAGACAAAGGGCAATTTATAATCACTAAGAATCTATAATACTGCTCTATTTCTGAAGCCAATTACCAAACTATTTTAAAGAATGTACTGTATACTCAATAACAACATACAAAACTATTCTACTGATGCAACTAATTAAAAAAAATACTTACCGTATAATCATTAATGCATACAATTCCTCAATTTCTGCAAGCAATTACTAAACAAATAGCAAAAAATTACAAATCCATTCAAAAGAATTGTATTATTTTTGTTTAAAGCAAATTTTACAAAGTATTTCCAAGTTTAAGTTCCTTCGGCTTTCAATAATTTTTTTCTTGCCTTTCATTCTATTTTCAGTTTGGCTATTTTTGCTTTAAATTTAAAAATCCACTTTGAATACATTTTGATTTCCCATCATTTCTCACTTTGGTGAAAAAACATGTCAGAGTTTTAGCTGCAATTTCCCATGTATATATGAAGGAACAACCAATGGTGAAGGCAGTTGCAATTCAGCCATTGGTGACTAGCCAAACCATCCATGTTATATGGGTGAAAATTTTATTGAAATAACTAAATTTGTCTTTTGTGAATAGACAAATGTGCTAAAACTATGACAACAACAAGCTGCTGCTTGGTAGCTATTCAACATTTAGTGAATAGACCATGACATTTATGCACATTTTTACATGAAATGTCCTTTTATGATCCTGCATATTAGGTTCTGTATGAATATTTAAATTATAGTTCACCATCATTTGTGAATGCTTTTTATGGTTTTTTTTTCCATGTTATTTTTTTCTGCTTCCCTTCTCTTGCCCCATACTTTATTAGATTTTTGTTTTAAAATAGTTTTAAAATATGTTTTAAAAACCTGTTTATTAAAAATATTTTGAAAAGAAAAAGCAGTTACCTTTACAATATCATAAACAAGGGGTAAAAAACATTTGCTCATCTAGCATGGATTGTCGAATAACTCTTTTTAATATAATAAAAATGTGTATTTTTGTGTTAAGATTACAATTTCAGTATGCAGATTATCAAAATGTCTTTCTGCTTTATTTTGGTTTACATTTCAGTAATTAGAAAATTAGAGCGGGTTGTCATTGTTTCTTTTCGTTTTGTTTTTTTCCCAGCAGAATCCTGTGGATTTGCTCTAATTACTATTCAAACATTCTTCTTCCGATGATAACAGTATTGCTCTTTCAGCTTTTTACTCTCTGGATTTTGCAACGGTGGTGTCCTCTTTTATACGGCATTGAAAGAACTGAGATACAGATGTGAACTTTCCATAAAGTTTCAACACTTATCTGGTATTTGCTCTTCCCATGAGCAAGCTATCATTCTTTTGCATTTTATGTATTATTGATGTTGATTTAGTGCTGGAAAAATAACCCATAACCTTAAGGAAAGATAAAGTATGACAAAGCGGTGTTACCATATCAGTCTGAGGTTTATTTCAAGTGTCCTTTTGTTAATTTAATGGCAGAGAAAAATCATTCTGACACAAGTGATTTTATCCTTTTAGGTTTTTCAGAGCAACGTGTGCTACTGTCAGTTTTGATGGCTATGACGTATACAATGATCCTCATTGGAAATTTATCCATCATTATCATTATTCACATTGATAGCCATCTCCACAAGTCCATGTATTTTTTCCTCAGTTGTCTCAGCATCTTAGACATATGTTACTCTACGGTTACTCTTCCTGCCATGCTCTTCAATGCTATAACAGACAACAGGAGAATTTCCACCAGCAGGTGTTTTACTCAGTTGTATTTCTTTACCTGCTTTGGAGGGTCAGAATGCTTTTTGCTAACAGCTATGGCATATGATCGATACGTGGCAATTTGTAACCCCCTACGATATTTAGTTCTTATGAACAAGAAATTCTGCTCTTATCTTGTCCAGGGATGCTGCTCCAGTGGATTTATGAACGCAGTTCTTCACACCTCAGTGATGTCTAAACTAAACTTTTGTGAAGACAGAAAAGTTGTCAGTTTCTTTTGTGATGTTCCTCCGGTGGTAAAAGTTTCTTGCACAGATACACAACATAGCCAGGTGTTAGTCTACGTTTTTAGTGTTTTCCTTGCAATAGCTCCGTTTATATTTGTCACAGTCTCTTACATACGTATCATTACTGCAATCTTGAAGATTGCATCTTCTGCAGGAAGGAAGAAAGCATTCTCTACTTGTTCCTCTCATCTCATTGTTGTTACGGTGTTTTTTGCAGTAGGCTTTTTATATTATGTTGGTCCTGCTCCTAGAGATTCTTCTGATATTATGATATTCTCTCCCATGCTCTTTTGTGTTCTGACACCATTGATTAATCCTATTATCTACTGCTTGAGAAACAAGGAAGTTAAAAAGGCCTTCAAAAAGCTTCTATCAAAAGAGATATTCGAATAAACATAGAATTATATAATATATAATTGCCTGACATTTTGTAGCAAACACAATGCTAATTGAAAACAAAAAGTGAAATATTTTAGTAAGCATCAATATAGAAAGGGAAACCTAAATATAAAGACTAATTATCCTAACATGTCATTTATAGGGATATAAGATGTTTTCCTGATTAATTAAATGCCATTTGAGAAAAAATGCAGGTGCCACTGGTCTCATGAGCTTGCATTTCATAACAATAAACATGGACATCTAGCTGATCCTCACATTATCTTCTCTATATTTTGTTCAAACACGGAAAGTTAAAGGATCATTATAGTACCTGTATTTCTAACAGGGCTGGCATACATGTTTAGACCTTCCCCCTCAAAATGGAGTAAAAAGGTATTTTAAAATACCTTTTCTACATCTCCGCACTGGTCTTGCTTTGGCTGGCCATGCCTCCATGGCTGAGATCATCAATCTTGATGATCTCAGCCAATCCAATCCTTTCCCAGAGGAATGCATTGGGAGGCAATTGAGCATGCACGTCAAAACGCTATGCTGCACCAATATGCTGCCTCATTGTGATGCATTGAATCAAGACAACTGTATGGGTGGCGTTCAGTACACACTGAAAGTAGGTGATGCACATAATGCAGCACTGAAATAGGAAGCACCTCTAGTAGCCTTCTGATTGACTGCACCTAAAAGTGTTACTTGCCAACAATGTAAATGCTGCCTTTTCCCTGAAAAGGCAGCATTTACATTGCTGAACCTGCATGGACATGCTTTACACACCAGAACCACTACATTAAGTTGTAGTGGTTCGGGTGACTCTAGTGTCCCCTTAATGAAACATCAGGGTTCCTATATAGAATGTAACTATACCACTTACTTTAGACCATTGGCAGATCCAGGGGGGGGCAACGGGGAAATTGCCCCCCCCCCGAGATTCTCCCCTGCCGGCTAATGTAGAGCTGTTATTGTCCAAGTGCCAGCCCTGCAATGTGCCAGGCACATTTCTGACAGCCGGCAGGGGAGTGAGAGAGGACCCGGGAGCTCAGTCTGCAGCTCCTCCGAGTTCTCCTCTCACGAGATTTGGAGCGTTGCCGTGGTTACCACGACAACGCTCCAAATCTTGCGAGAGTGAAGTCTAGCTCTGGAGTGCGGGCTAGACTTCACTCCACACTGGGACCACCAGGGACGGAGAAATGGGGACATCAATATATTTATTTTATTAAATACATTAAAAAAAAAAAGCCTCCCTACCCTCCTTCCTCCTCCATACACACATACACTGCCCTCCATACATACACTGCCCCCCATACACACATACACTACCCTACCATACATACACTGCCCCCCACACATACATACACTGCCCCCACACATACACTGCCCCCCATACATACACTGCCCCGACACATACACTGCCCCCACATACACACTGCCCCCATATACACTGCCCCCATACACACATACACTGCCCCACATACACTGCCCCCACACATACACTGCCCCTACACACCTGCCCCCACACACACACACACACATACACCCCCATACACACACTGCCCCCACACATACACTGCCCCCCATACATACACTGCCCCCACACATACACTGCCCCACACATACACTGCCCCATACACACATACACTCCCCATACACACACACTGCCCCCATACACACACACATACACTGCCCCCCATACACACATACACTGCCCCCATACACACACACACTGCCCCACAAACACTGCCCCCATACACACACTGCACACCTATACACACTGCACACCCATACACACACTGCCCACACACACACACACTGCCCCACAAACACTGCACACCCATACACACACAGACACATACAGTGCCCTACACACACTGCTGCCCCCCATACACACATTGCCCCACACGCGCACACGACCCTAATAAATTATTAAAGGGACACTCCAGACCGCTAAAGCACTATAGCTTGATGAAAAACATTATGTGTGAAGAGAGTGTTTTATTTTTTTCACTTTGCAAAACGGGTAGATTTCAAAAGATATTGACACTTTTATAAATAAAAAACACACCCTGCCCCCATACATAAAGTGCCCTCCCCATACACACACTGCCCCACACAGACATACAGTGCCCCCATACACACACTGCCCCAAACACACATACAGTGCCCCCCATACACACACTGCCCCACACATACACTGCAACCATGACATACACTGCCGCCCTCACGCACTCACACACACACTTCACCGCTCACACACACTGCACCTTTCACACACACTTCACCCCTAACACACACCACTGCTCCTATGCCCTATATCCCAGCAGACCCCAGGTAAGTTGTCAAACTATTCTTAAACGGTATGACTACTTACTCTGGGGTGGGATCCTGGCACTACTGGCACCATAACTACTACACTGAGCTGTAGTGGTTATTGTGCCCTGATTATTTATTTAAATAATCTACAAGTGCCCCTCCTGAGATCAGGCTCTGGATTCGCCACTGCTTTAGACTGTAAGCTCACATGGACAGGACCTTCATCACCTTTTGATTATTTTGAATTCAGCTTGTCAATCATGTTTGTTTGATATGTTTTGTATGGTCATTTAAAAGTACTGAATATGTTGCCCGTCCATAGGCAACATTAAAAATAAAAATAATAGGGCTAACTGAGTGTGTTGTTTATGGATTTAATGAAACAATCAGTCCATCTCAAAAAACATCTCAATGATTTAATCAGATGTAGGTATTTTTTTTATATTTATTAGACTATTATACTTACAGACATACAGTCACATTTTCTGTTTTTTTTAATGTAACATTTCTTACAGTTGTACAGATGTATGGACACACAGAAAGTTAAAAACTGCTGGAATGTTTGTACAAATGTTATTTGTAAGTACCAGATTACTGTTTTTAAAATGATGTAAAATCATGATTTTATTAAAGACACAGAGGTGAATATTATGCTTTACTTTTTCATTTATAAGACAACACACATTTAAAAAAAAAAAAAGGCAACCTGAAGACAAAAAGAATTAAAATGTTTATTTTAATTTATATAAAAAGGAAATAGTAAAAAACTGTTGGTGGGTAAAGTGACAAGACCAATCTCGCCACATTGCATTGGAGAAGCCTATTTGCCAGCCTCCTTCCACATGACTATGGCCCCTGGGAGATGGTGAAAACGTATGCACTTTTATTGGGTGTGTATAGCACTTTAAGACAGTCAGTGGGCATATTGTGCCTTATGGACTCTTTATGGGACTGGTGCTGGCCCTTTAAACACCTTTTTGGGACATCAGGAAGATTGGGACACTGCCCCTTTAAGACGGTGTCCCCAGACTTGTTTGGGACACTGCCCCTTTAAGACGGTGACCCCTGTGTCCCCAGACCTGGTTAAAACTCTTACTGAACCAAATACCACACAGGCGGACCACCCAGAAGTGGAGGTGTGCAGGCAATTTACCTCCCAGAAGCTGCGGTTAACCGCAGCTTAATTGACAATGCTGGGTGGCCTTTGTTCGTTTGCCGAACACGTGGCGGCGGCCATCTTTGTTAATGCGAACGAGGTCAGCGGTATGTGTAGCCAAATTCATGGAACTAAAATCGGCTACACATTTCCGCGAACACCGCTGAGCCCTACCTTCTCCCATACTGATTTTACAGGCATACTAACAAGTAGGAGCACTCCAAAAATCTTCCCAAACAGGCAAGTAATTTTGTTATCCTGCTTCTTTGATATGGCCCTGGAATGATATCCAACACAATGTGCAAAGGTCCAATAGACACTTTCCTGGGCTGATGAGGAGTCCAACTGTTTCTGTCCAAACTGCATCTGTCAATGACTATCACTATCTGTAACATCTCCCTGCTTTGCCTAATGGTAGTACTGTTGGAGGTTCTGCTGTTGCTCCCCCTTTTTTAAAATGCCTGTCATGGTAATGGTTTCACCAGGCGTTTTGTTTGTTTAAAAATTAGTTGCTGCATAGTAGATTTACTATACTGTAATCTTATTGTATTTAACGACACTGCCCAGTGTACACTGCAATGAGACATTTGCAAAGCACATAGCTAAAGAAAACAAGGCTTTGAAAACTGATTACTCATCTCTTAATGATGCTTTACCCTGCCTGCAACACTACAACTGCCACACTCAGTGTAGGCAGGGTTCATGTGTGCATTAAACTGCAGTTGCACATTGTGTATATTATTGAGAGAAGAATCTTGCAATTTCCAAAGCAAAATCAGTGGCACAGAAGCACATTGCAAAACAAATTATCTGTCTTTTACTAGAAGTAAATAAAAGGTGGGTGTAAGTGACCCTAACGCTAACTAAATTGCTAACACTAACCCTAATTGTAAACCTAAATCCTAACTGCACCCTTTGCTAGACACTAATTGTAACCCAAAATATAAATACTAACTAACCCTAAATAAAAACACTAACCCTAAGTACTAGCACTAATCCTTACTCTAACCCTAAACACTAACTGTAAACATAAGCCTAAACACTAGCACTAACTTATCCTAACTCTAACAAACCTTAACTGTAACCCTAGCAATAATGCTAGAGGAATTCCCTTGCCGATGTCACCAGTTGTATTACTTTGCTGACATCAGAAGAAGGATTCCCCTGCAGAGCAGAATGAGAGGAATTACTTCCCTCTCTAGTAATAAATTATGTTGTGCCAAGTTGTCATGATATGATTTAAACCCCATCTGCAGCCTATTAACTCACAGTGATATTGCTGATATCCTCTTCAGATGGTGTTCATGCTGCAGGGAGCTTGAAGGAAGGCCAATCAAGGTCTTCTCAGATCCTGCAGGTCTCCCCATGTTAAAAGGAATATCCAGCGATCTCAGCTCTTCTTGAGTAATATAGTGATACCACATAATTACCTTTGTATACCTTTATAATTCTATCCATACCCCAGCCCCTAATCCTACCCCTAATCCAACCACCAATTATATTATGGATATATTTGCAGTACAGTAATTGGCCCACGTTTACACCCTTTTGGTTTGTCTGAATATTGTTTTCTGGAATAATTAGGTGTATGAAATTCGTCTTAACCAATACGCGTTAATGGATAAAATCCCTATCCTACAGTTGCCTACAGCTAAACCTTTCTTCTAGAGACAATAAGGGTGATGTGTGACAGAGCCTACTCTGATCACACTAACAACTCGTTCTGGATCCCCAAAATAGCTACTTCACATCTATGCCTCCACCTGTCAGGAATCCGGGAACCACAACACACAGACAGAATCACAAACAAGAATATTTGTAATACCGGTCCTTACATTGCCTGGGTTATACAAATAAGCAAAGTCAGAATACAAGCCGAGGTCAGAAGATTGCAGAGGTAAGGAATAATGATTAAACAAGCCGAGGGCAAAGGATTAGCGAAAACAGGATAAACGAGAGACAAAAGCCAGTAAAGGTACCAAACGACTAAACAGAAGGAACGCGCAATTGGGCTACCAAGAAACCACAGCAGGGCAACAAGGAATGGGAGAAGTATAAACAGGGATCACTTACTTCTGACTTGGAATTGACCAATATTCGTGGAAGGTACTTGACCTTCCTAATCTGACCTCTGACGTAAGTTTTATGCGCCGAATTCGCTCTACTGAATTTCGAGTTTGGTTTGGCGAACGCCGAATTCGGTAGCTCGGCAGCGCATACTTAAACACACTGCATGCAAGCGTGCAGCGTCAGTCGGAATGCCGGCAGGGATCGTGGCACTCGGAGCACCATTGGAAGGGAAGGTAAGCAGGCAGGAAGCCTGACATAACCCACTCCCCGAGGACCACCAGGAGGGCGGAAAGCAGAAGGCTTCAGAGGAAAACGAGCATGAACATCTCGGACCAATTGTTGAGCATGCATCTCAGAAGCAGAGAATCTTCCTCAGGACCACAACCCTTCCAAATATTGTAAGGCACCACAAGAGATCCTCGAATCAACAAGAGAGTGCACCTCATATTTCACACTGGACAGGGCCAGGACTAACAACAGGTCTAGTGAACCTATTGCACAGCAAAGGTTTCAGAAGGGATGTATGAAACGTGTTTGGAATACGCAGGGAAGAAGGCAATTCCAAGGAATAAGATACAGGGTTGATCCTGCTCAAAACCTTATAAGGACCAATAAACTTAGGTGCCAGTTTCATCGAAGGAACACACAGACGCAAATTCCTCGTAGAAACCCAATCCCGATTACCAGGAACATAGCTAGGTGCCAGAGCTCGAAGGCGATCAAAACTCTTCTGGGGCATAGCTGCATGGGACAAGGCTGATTGGACCTGCTCCCACATCTCCCTTAAGGTGGCAAGATGGGCATCCAAAGCAGGTATTCCCTTTTCTGAGAATACACCAGGAAAGACGCTAAGTTGAACACCGTAAGCCACCATAAAAGGACTTAAGCCAGTAGAGGCATGACAAACCGAATTTCTAGCAAACTCAGCCCAAGGGAGAAGACCAGACCAATTATCTTGGAGTTCATTAGTAAAGCAGCGTAAGTACAGTTCCAGGGACTGATTCGCCCTTTCAGCAGCACCGATAGATTGAGGGTGATAAGCCGAGGAGAAGGAAAGAGTAACACCCATCTCTGCACAGAAACCCCTCCAAAACCTAGAGATGAATTGAGGGCCCCTGTCTGAGACTATATCAACCAGTATGCCATGCAATCTGAATACTTCCTTGGCAAAGATATTGGCCGGTTGAGCAGCAGAAGGGAGTTTCTTAAAGGGAATAAAGTGGGCCATCTTGAAAAACCTGTCTGTAAGCATAGGAATGACTGTATGACCATCAGAGAGAGGAAGATCCACTATAAAATCCATACAAAGATGTGTCCAAGGCATTTTGGGTATAGAAAGGGGCATGAGAAGGCCAGCAGGTTTATGAGAGAGAGACTTATTACAAATAGAAACATAGAAACATAGAATGTGACGGCAGATAAGAACCATTCGGTCCATCTAGTCTGCCCAATTTTCTAAAAACTTTCATTAGTCCCTAGCCTTATCTTATAGTTAGGATAGCCTTATGCCTATCCCATGCATGCTTAAACTCCTTTACTGTGTTAACCTCTACCACTTCAGCTGGAAGGCTATTCCATGCATCCACTACCCTCTCAGTAAAGTAATACTTCCTGATATTATTTTTAAACCTTTGTCCCTCTAATTTAAGACTATGTCCTCTTGTTGTGGTAGTTTTTCTTCTTTTAAATATAGTCTCCTCCTTTACTGTGTTGATTCCCTTTATATATTTAAATGTTTCTATCATATCCCCTGTCTCGTCTTTCCTCCAAGCTATACATGTTAAGATCCTTTAACCTTTCCTGGTAAGTTTTATCCCGCAATCCATGAACCAGTTTAGTAGCCCTTCTCTGAACCCTCTCTAAGGTATCAATATCCTTCTGAAGATACGGTCTCCAGTACTGTGTACAATACTCCAAGTGAGGTCTCACCAGTGTTCTGTATAATCTCGCATGCCTGGACATACTCCTTAATCTATTTTATAGAAGAAGGCCACCAACATCTGTTTTCTATTACTGTCTTTTACATATAATAAACCAACTGGTTTTCTCAGGGGGTGCCTGAGTCTGATACTGGTTAATTTTGTCGAGTAGCAGAGAAGAAACAGTAAGACGAGTAGCAGCAATGATATTAGCAGAAGGAACAATGGTTTCAGAAATAGTGGG